ACATTTGAATACTCAGATCTTCAATGGAGGAGTTAAGGAGATGCATTGTAGTTTATTCATTTCCTATTTGATTACCATCCCATAATTTTATTCCAAATATAGTAAAAATGTATTTAGCTTCTTCCTGGACAGTCCTAATTCTTATTTTCCATTCTTTCTGCCCCTGTTTGGTAACAGGCTCAGACGTAACACCAAACTACAGTGACAACAGCCCAACCAACATCACCATCAGCCTGTGGTGCACCTGCAGGGGCACAGGTCATCAGGAGCCAGACTGTGAGGCCTTCCATAGGGACTTCACTCATAACACTTGCCTCAGTAAGTCCACATATTATTCTGCCAAATAACCGGGCCAAACTCACACAGAGATAGAGCTGCAAGAACTCTCCATAAAATGCAATTCAGTTTAGTTGTATAGCGCAAATTCATGAAACCTGTCATCCCGAGGCACCTGACAGAGACGATTCAACCAGATCATCCAGTCAGATGGATTTAAAATTTTCTATCTAAGAAAAACCAGCTGATTGCATTCACTCATTGACTTTTCAGCAATCCCTCACGCTAAGCATGCTTTTTGCAACAGTGGAGAGGAAGAACTCCATATTAACAGGAAAACCGTACAGAAGAATCAGATATAACAGACAGAAGAAATCTATCTAAAGATGAAACAGCTACTTACAATTAATGAACAACTTTATACAGACACATGTAAAAAGAAAAAAATCAGCTTCAGACATCAAACTTCTCTTCGTTGTTGATATACCCCAAAAGGAATCCAGATTCCCAACATGGAACAGAACTCATTCCAGAAACCGGAAAGGAACCTATCTCGAAAGGATGCCTGTGGCCGGGCTGTGGAGGAAAAAAATAATTCTGGGGTGAATTATGTTAACAATTGGTCCTCCTAATTGTCAATCATTTTTGGTGATATGTTTACGTAAGGCCGTTCTACGTGCGTAGAACATTTGCTCGATCTAAGAAAGGAAGAGAGAGGTTACACGGCTCACTGAAGACGGGCAGCACAGAGGTCGGAAAGCGGACCGGGTAGGTGGAGCAGAGAAGCGGACTCAGCGCTGCCTTGGATGAGGAAATCCGGTGACTGGATGACTGATGAGCGGGCCGGGGGAGCTCGAGCAGGTTCCGAAATGGAGCAGTGATCAGCATCAGCTGGAGGTACCAGGGAGGCCCAGTGAGGTTCTCAACCCGGCTTGGTGACACCAGGTGAGCATGGGGGAAATGCCTGCAGCAGGATCGGAGCAGTGAGTGAGATCCAGGTCGTGTAGATACCACACTAGTTTAACACTCTGACATCCTCCAGCTGTCAGAGAGCTGTTTTTATAGCGCAGCCGCAAACACCGCAGAACAAGCCGTAGGTGTGTACCATGCCCACCAGTCAACTCCAGTCACCTGTGGAGAGAGCAGAGGAAGAAAACTACCTGCTGGGTCCTGACATCTGGTTATGTAGGAAAATATGGAATATTTCCAAAAACAAGTTGAATACATAGATGTGGTTGGAAGTTTTGTGGAATGAGGTCAACGGAAAAAGAAAACTCTTCCTCACCCACCATGGGGGGTCTCTCCCCCTGTTTTCCTCCAAGCTCAGGTCCTCTACCAGAGGCCTTGGAGCTTGAGAGTTCTGCGCAGTATCTTTGCTGTTCCTAGAACTGCAATTTTCTGGACCAAGATGTCTGATCTATTTCCAGAAATCTGCTGTAACCACTCCTCAAGTTTGGGGTTCACTGCCCCGAGGGCCCCAATGACCACGGGTTCCACTGATGCCTTGACCTTCAGGTTTTCTCCAGCTTTTCTCTAAACCTCTAGTATTTCTCTGGTTTCTCATGTTCCCTTTTCCTGATGTTGCCGTCACCTGGTATTGCTATGTCAACCACAATGGCTTTTTTACACTCACTGCAATATTTGTGCCGCAAAGAAGAAAACCAGCATCAGAAATATTTGAAGTCTGAATATGCTTAAAGTTAAACAAGATATTTCAGAACCCCTTTGAAGGAGAGATCAGCTGCTGAATAGATTTTAGATTTCATCAGCTCAATCAGAGAGGTGGACTTATTCCTAGTTCCTCAGCAGATCTCAGAGCAATAGGTTCAGTGGTGACATCTCCTGCTGGCTGGAATCACTCTGAGAGCATCACTCTGAGAGCAGATGTTTATGCTTGACGGAGATGGAAAAAGATTCCCCCTTACAGTTCAAGGAACTATAAAAGAGGTGGCCAGAAATCAGAAAGCTCAGTGAGGTCCACCAGGGATGAGGCTAACGCAAGGAAATTGTAAGGCAAAGATAGAAACAGCCAATCATGCAGAAAAAGAATGTTGGACATCTATTAACACATGCTTTCAATTATCTGATGAGACTGGGTGGAAGGAGCACAAATGGACTGAATGGACAATCAGTGCAGAGAGAGATTGAAGAACATAACTAGATGACAGGCCACAAACATAAATATGGTGATGGGAGGACATCAGTATATTCAAGTCTATCATGTGAGGATGTTCTAATCACATTGCCACATAATTTGGTCCAATGCTCCAGAAAAAAAAACACCTAAACAAACTGCAACTAGTCCAAAATAAAGCAACGTGTCTTAGACTAACATTTCCAACATATACAAATTTGTTAGTGTGCACATGGCATTAGGTGGGCCATTGCTGAAATATATGGTTGATGTTGTCCTTTCTTAGTTTTTTTTTTTCAGAAATATTTTTAGTATATAATATCCCTTTGTCATGATTTTATCGAGAGCTCGGACCCACATGCAGAGAAACCAAAACAGAGAGACCAGGGAAAAACTTTAACAGGTTTATTGAGAAGGTTGTGGAGATTCCAGTGTTGCTCTGAACACTGCTCAACCGGAACTGAAAGGTGAGGGGAAGACACTGCGGTTAGTTCAGGTTCAGTGGGA